GAGAGAGAGAGAGAGAGAGAGAGAGAGAGAGAGAGAGAGAGAGAGAGAGAGAGAGAGAGCTCTGGTACCAAATTGCAACGATCGGTTAGGGAAGCATCTTAATCACCTTAACTACCGTCTTCACCCGAATAGAACGCCCTGTAATTATCGCCGTATCTGGGCTGAAAGTTGTGCCAAATACGGCTATAATGACCGGGCGTTCTATTCGGGTGAAGACGGTAGCATGCAAGGTCTTGCTCTGGTACCAAATTGCCACGATCGTGGGCAGCTCCCAATTCCAAACTAACACAAATGCCAATTGCAATTTGAATGAAAGAGATTGGAAGAATAAGACAAGGGAGGAAGAAGAATGAAAGAATAGAAGAAGCTGGATCCAATGTCATTTCTCCCTCATCTCGCCTCCATCGTCTCCTCCTTATCGTCTCCAGCATCATGTTAATAATAAAGAAACAACAATGAAAGAAAGAGCCGGAATCAAATGTCCGATTACTCCCCCTTACTGCCAGCAACGTGAACTACCCTCCTTTCACCTCGTAGACCTCCTACACCACCCTTTTTCCTTGGAGCAGCATCTGGCTATGTCAGCAAATCCAAGCCTACCGTCTTCACCAGAATAGAACGCCCGGTCATTATAGCTGTATTTGGGGCAACTTTCGGACCAGATGCAGCGATAATGGCCGGGCGTTTTATTCGGGTGAAGACGGTATCTCGAATGTTCGCGGACAATGCAAAAGGCTCCATGTCCTGTCCTACGTCAGGGATCTTCTAGATGCAGTGCCAACCTTTGGAGGTGAACTTCTACCGCTTCCCTACTACACCTCCATAGCCATGGAGGTCTTCACCTTCACCCTCCAGCTCCACCTTCTCCTTCCAGGAGCTCCACCGCTGCTGCCTCTTGGTGGAGCAGCAGCATGACTGCTGGATGCTTATCGCACCGAATGATATACTACTTGCTGCCTCCCGGCTTCCAGAAACTCCCAGGTGGGTACTACCTACCTCTACCTGCCTCACTTTGGTGGACTAGGCCTACCCGGGTGTTCCCTCCTCCTGGCTGAAACCTACCTACAGGCCCTGAACCTAGGCTACTTCCTGCCCACATTCAGGCCCTGGACTATCATTACCTGTAGGTAAGCTACTGGACCTTTCCAGCCCCTGCCAGATTGCTGGATGATAAGTACCACGTCCCCAGCCTGCCCTTGGCCATCTTTCTATTCCTACCTTCCCTGTCCTAGGCACCGCCACACACATGGACAACAGAGTTAGCACACGGCCTCGGGCAAACACACGGCACATGCACTTCAGTAGTAGGTCACAGGCATCCCTGGGAATTCTCAGAAAGAGTCTCAGACAGCGATACGTGCTTGCCATTGCAGTTTATTATGGAAAGCTTACCTCCTCTCCATCTCTTCTCTACCTTCTTTTTTTTTTTTTTTTTTTTTTAACAAAACACCCAAGCCCCTTCTATTCTGCGGGGCTGCTAGAACGACTCTCCTCGCCCCTTACTTTTCCTAGAGTCCCTCTGCTGCATGACTGGGTGCTGCCAGTAAGCCTCCCGGCCAGCAGAAGCCCTCTAGGAAAGCAATGGCTTGGAGGGGGGGTCGGATCGTAGCACTCCCCGCCCCCCACCCCCCCCCTCTCCCCACCGTTGAGTAGGTGACTCGTACTGCAAGGGATGGGCTGACTCTTTGTCAACTCTGTTCATTTGGCTTTTTTCTTTGTACTTGCTTGTCGGTGATAAGCAACCGGACTGACGATCTCTTCTCTACCCTTTGTTTGTCCCTTTTTTTTATTTATTTTTTCTCTCTGGGTACTTGCCATTGCATTCTGAGCAAGGCTGAATACCCGGTCCAACCGGGGCCCCCTTCCCCCACCGGAACCGGGCCGGTTCTACCGGCTGGTGGACCGCGCCGGTCCCCCCCCGGTTGCAATTTGCGTAATTTGATTGCGGGGAGGTTTTGAATTTTTTTGGGCCGGGAGGCCTCCATGCGGGTCGTGGAGGCCTCCCAGCCCCCCAAAAAAATTGAACAGGGTCCGGTAGGCCCGCCAGAATATTGAAAAACTGGCTGCCTATCTGGGCCGTCGATCTGGTGAGATCTGCGGCCCAGATAGGCTGCCCGTAATTGAACATTCGGGCGGGAAACCGCCCAATCATTGGCCTGCCATCCATACGTTCCCCAGCCACCGCCCCCACCATCCCGCGTCCCGCCTCCAGCTGCTTTCGAGCAGCTCAACCCGTGACTTCGACACTTCGTCGAAAGTGGACGAGGTCGAGACTGCGTCGCCCCCCCCACGTCCGCCCCGTCCTCGGATCGCCATCGCCCCGCCCCGCCGTCCATCGGTAAAGGTGAGTCTTCCTCCTCCTCCTCCTCCTCTTCTTCTTCTTCTTCTTCTTCTTCTTCTTCTTCTTCTTCTTCTTCTTCTATTTCTTCTTCTTCTTCTTCTTCTATTTCTTCTTCTATTTCTTTTTCTTCTTCTTCTTCTTCTTCTTCTTCT